CCACAGGGCTTGGAGGGTAGTCATCTGGGAAATACAGAAGTGTTGTGAGGCCGGACTGAGAATCAGGTCAAGCTTGGGTACCATTGGGGGATTTCTACCCCTATACACTCAGCGAAGACGCCACTGACCATCCAAAGTGGAGCCAGAACCTGGGGCTGGGTGGTGCCAGCAGTCTTCTTTGACTTTTCTCTTTCTGTTACGTGGCTCAGCCAAACCATCACCAGGGCCTGGCCGTTCACTTCTCCAGGAGCGATCTGAGTCAGCCACTTCTTTCCATGCTCCTGTCCTCCAGAGGGTCTGGCCACCACCTTCTATCCATTGCATGCCCACCATAGCCTCTGTGAGCTCCCCAGTGGGTAAGCCTGGGGCACAGCCTGGAGAAGATCCCCACCCGGCAGCTGGCCGAATCATCGTGCCTGCCTTGCACCCTGTCGAGCGGCTTTATGCTAGATCTCACTTTTATAAAATAAACTTTTCATTCTAGAATAGTTTAGACTTACAGGAAAACTGCAAGGATTGCACAGAGAATTCCCATATACCCCGCACCCAGTGACCTCTGTTGTTAGGCTCTAACATTAGTATATGTTTGATACAACGAGTGAACCAATATTGATGCTTTATTATTATTAGCTCAAGTCCCTTCTTTACTCAGACTGCTTCAGTTTATCCCTAACATCCTTTTTCTGTTCCAGGATCCCATCGAGGATCCCACATTACATTTAGCTGTCGTGTCCCCTTAGCTCTTCTTGGCTGTGACAGTTTCTCAGCCTGTCCTTGACAGAGTAGGGCAGTCTACATTTGTAGAATGTCCCTCAATTTGGTTGTGTCTGATGTTTTGCTCATGATGGGACTGGAGTAATGGGTTTTGGGAGGAGGACCACAGGAGCAATTGCCATTCTCACCACATCTTATCAAGGGCAGTGTCAAAGAAAAAAAATACTCAGTGACACTTGTTCCAGATGGTGAGGCAGACTTTATTAGGACCATCATGATAACTATAGGGACCACTGCAATGGGATTTTACAGTAGGGGAGAGAGATGGGCTCAACTCGGAATACAGGATGGGTAAGTGGGGATTTATAGCCCAGGAGAAGGTGCGGGTCAGTGGATGGAAATTACTAACAGGAAACATCAGGGATCAGGAAGGTTCTGGCTAATCTGACCTAACAAGATTGAGGCTGAAGGCGGGCCAGGTGATCAGACATCTCCTGGGGGACGGTGGAGGATGAGGACCCACATCGGATGTCAAGGGTGAGGGGGTTTCTGGTTAAACTGACTCAGCAGGGTTCTTGTTAAAATTTGATTTTACAAGGAAGTGCACAGATAGGCCTAGGAGAAGGTTCAGGAACCCGACTAGAGTTTGGTCAAGCAGAGAATCTTTGTCAGTACAGCTCTCAATGTGACTTCTCCCTGTTGATGTTGACCTTGATCACCTGGCGGAGGTCATCTTTATCAGGTTTCTCCACCGTGAAATCACTCTCTCCCTCCCTGCTCTCTATGGTCTACCCTCTGGAGGGAAGTCCCATGCTCAGCCCACAAGCTAAGGAGCGGGTTGTCATGTTCCACCTCCTTGAGAGTGGAGGACTTGCATCAATTATTTGGAATTTTTCTGTTGGGAGATTTGTCTGTCCTTCTAGGCACTTTTGCACACATTATCCTGTAATTTTCACAATTGCGAGGTTAATATTGTCTCTCATTTTCCAGATGCAGAAACAGAGACTCAGCAAAGTTGACTCATCTTCCCAGGATCACCCAGATTTTAAGTGGCAGGCCGAGGACTTCAATGTGGATGTTCTCAGAGCCAGCTCTCTTAAGTACTAAGCTCTCTGTCCACACTGAAGCTAATCCATCCAGAATTCACTTATTCCCTGGGGCACCGGTACCCTTCTCTTAGGCAGGGTAGGGCTCACTAGGGGTGGGGGGTGGGGTTGGGGTCTGTATGGTGAGCCCACCCTTTGAAAGGGCTTCCTCTGAGGACTTCAGGAACCAAATCCTATTCCATAAGGTCTAAGTTAGACTAGGCTCAAACTAGATGTCAATATGGTACATGTTCTGTTATACAAGGAAGACTGTTCCTTCTATCTACCTACCTACCTGTCTAATCATCTTACTAAAGAAAAAGAAAGCTCCCTTTGGTTAGTTGTCATAGTTTTTAAGAAGAAAGTTTAGTAGCTATACATTTTTAGAAGCATTGGGTTCACCCTTGATTTCCATTGAACAAGGTCATCTGCGTGGTGAGAGGTGTTATTTGTCATCCTGGGAAAGTCGGTGGGGAGCCCGCAGTGATTTCACGGGTCATGGAAAGCGCACACCTGTCAGAACGAGTTGGCTGCACGTTGGTTTTTCTGGGCTCCACAGAATATGCAGAACCGATCTGTATAATGGGCCGTTTACTTTGTGGATTTCCAATTTTTCCTCTCTCCGCCTGTTCAAAGTGTTTAGGATGTAGCAGCTCAAAGGCCATCCTGCTTAACATTGCCACCGACACACTCTTGCACGTTTTTAAAGAAATGGCTCTAGACGAATTGCAATTCGTTTCGCCGAGACCCTGGGTAAATCTCACTGACGGGTGCCGCACAGCGTTGAGCTGGAAGACAAACCTACTGAGATCAAAGGACCCTCTCTCCCCCACAGTTCAGAGCAATTAAGCGGCTTTGGGCTCCTGACAGCTAGCAGCGTCGCCTCCCCCGGGCACTGTAAACGGCAGTGGAGGGCACAGGGCTGAGAATGAGTCAAAAAGCATCAGCTGCTTGTTGGAACCTGTGAGTCACAGAGCTGGAGGGTGGCACACATGTTTCCGGCTCGTTAATCTCACACATGGTCATATTAGTCAGCGTTTCTCTCTCAAAATGCTGCTTGGTTCACCTGTTAAATTTTCCCATGAGTTCAGGAGATGGCTGAGGTCTGCGCTAAGCAAACAGCAATGCTTCTAGAAGAGTCTGCACTCTGATTTTTGAAGTTGATGAGAAGGGTTTACTGTTGCTTGGGCCGCAGCCTGCAGGGTCCAGGTACCCCTCAAGGAAGGAAACTGTGTCCCAGCCTGGATGTGTGTCTCTGTTGGGGGTGATGGGAAGACAGAGCCCCTGCGGGTCGCTGTGGGAGGAATTAATGTTGGGCTTGCATGACGCTGGCAGGGCTGGGGGAGCCAAGGCCCGGGAGATTTCCCCGCAGTAGGGAAGCAGGGATTCTCCAGGCTGCTGTGCTGCGGGCCTCAGCTTGCTCAGCCTCCTTGGTCTGCAGGGCGAGGTGGGCGGGGCGCATCACAGGAAGCAAAAGTCTCCTGGTTGCTCGCCCTCTCTCAGGAGGAGGCCTCGTCTCCTCTGCCAAACCTCAGATCTCACCCCATGCCCTTCCCGAAATCAGCCAGGGAGGGAGCCTCATGGGAACCGGCTCCTCGCTGGTGCAGAGACCTCTCTGGGGGGGTGGGGGGGGGAGGTTGGGAGACCCAGTTAACGACAGAAAATGTACCAAGATGTCCTCGCGGCCCCATACCTGCAGCCCTGACAGACAGTGGGGGTTCCAGAAGCACATGTGTGGTGTGGGGATGAATGAGGGATTTCAGAGAGCTGGATCCTCAGCTATAAGGATGGAGACTGGGCACCCAGCACCTCCACCCAGGCCAGGAGAGGGACTTGTGCAGACTGCTTCCACTCTGGAGGGTGTGTTAGCCATCATCAGCAGGGACCAGGATGGAGATGGCAGCTCAGAGGGGGGCGGGTGAAGGTGAGGAGGAGAGGAAGCTATTGGCTGGTCCTGAAACAGTGAAGTCTGAGCGTCTAGGACAGTGGTTCTCGACAGGGCAATTTTGCCTCCACAGGGCACATTTGGCAATCTCTGGAAACACTTTTGGTTGTCACAACCTGGGTGGGAGGAGGGGTGTGGTTGCCACTGGCATCTAGTGGGTGGAGCCCAGGGATGCTGCTAACCATCCTACAATGCACAGGACAGTCCTACAACAAAGAATAATCTGGCCCCAAATGTCAATAGTGCTGATGTTGGGTCCCTGCTCTAGGGGACTGAAGTGGGGCGGGGGCGGTGTGTCATTTCACACAAGGATTTAAGAAGTAGGCCCAGTGGGCATAGGGCAGCATGGACATTTGAGCCACCCAAGAGCCTCTCTTTGTGGCCCAGGCATTCTGTTTGAGGAACTCTCCCGCTGCTTCGTGGTTTTCTGTGGGTGAGCCTGGAAAATCCTGGGAATCCTGCTTTTCACTTGACCTTCTCCTTATTCACCCCCATCCAAGAGCACGTGGGCTTTTTGAGACTCCCTCTGGCAATGAGCAGGCAATCAGGTCCTTTTTGGAAGTGCATGGTGGTAAGGGAGAGAAATCTATATTCTTTAATGAATAGTCTTACCTGCCTGGGCTTAAAGCTGAGGTCTTGGTAGCAACACTCCCTGTGTTCCCCACCTCTGTGTGTGTGTGTGTGAGAGAGAGACAGACAGAAAGACAGACAGACAGGCACTTCTGAGGGGTAGGAGAGGGTGGCAGCGTGAGTTGGCATATCCTGTTGCTCTGAGGATGACTTTCTCCTCCCTGAAGCTCTGGAGCTCTGGGAATGGGCTCTGAGACTCATTTTCAGTTTTGCATCTGTTTGCGTTGGCGTCTCCTGCTGGGAGCTGTCAGCATCCAAGACCTTCCCCCCCGGCCAGCCAGTGTCTGTATGAGGCTAGCTCAGCGTTTCCACACACCACCCCCTGGCATCCTTGCTCCCCATGCTCCTCCCTTAAGAGTTTGACAGGACAGCAGCTCCCACGTGGGTCGGCGGAAGGGAACAAGTGAACCAGAACCAGCAGTGCTGTGGCCAGGGTGGGGTCCAGGGTCTTCCTGTTTCCTGGACTCTGTGAGAATTATTTCTTGAGGTCTGAGAGGCAAACTCCCACACCCTCCAGACGGGCTGTTCCCCAAGGTCGACTATGTGACATTTCCTTCTCTGGGAAGACCTCACTGGAATGAGCGGTGCGGAGTGTGGTCGATACATGTGTGCACTTCTTTTTGCAGGGCACGCCACCATCACCAACTACTTGTTGAACTATTTCCCTGGTCTGGACCTTGAAAGGAGGAATGCGTGGGGCTTCACGGCCCTGATGAAAGCTGCCATGCAGGGCCGCACGGAGTGCATCCGAGCCCTGATGCTAGCAGGTATGTCTCCACCGTCCTGTGCCGGCCCCGGGGTCCCGGGAAATGCTGATATGTGTTGAAGAGATGAATCAGTCCCATAGAGACAAAGCCTAGTGGATGCAATGAAGAGTAGTTTCTTTGGGAGGTATGGCCATCATCCTCCCAGGTGAAACATACAAAAACAAAAGCAACACCTGCAGGGTGGAGTGGGAGGTCATGGCTATGGTCATCCTGCAGGACACCTGTCCTTGCCCCTGACGAGCCCTTCCCTCACCCCTTAGCCTCCTCCTGCTCATATTTATTCTTCTGCAGAAATGTGAGTCCTGGTCTTGGCTCTGGGTGGCAAGCCTGTCCTATTGAAGGTGGGCCCAGGGATGGTGGGGTCAGCCCAGGAGTCATCCTAGATCCCCGTTTGCTGGTGGTTGGAGTGACATGACGTGTGCAGCAGTGTCTTTTTCCTATGATGCCTCATGGAGTGGAAAGTTCTCGGGCCATAACTTTGGATCAGCAGGGCCCCCCTTTGCCCTTTATGTCCTCATCGTCTTGGAGGAGGCACTTCCTTCTCTGAGCCTGTCTATCCCCATCTGTGAAATGGGAGTAGTCACTGCTTTCCTACCTCCCTGAGGATGAACTATGACACCACTTTGTAAACTTTCAAGGGCTATACAAATTCAATGACCTACTAAGCTAAATTCTGTGTGACTAATCTCTAGTCCTTTTTTTTTTTTTTATTGCTGAGGAAGATTAGCCCTGAGCTAACATCTGTGTGCATCTTCCTCCTCTTTACTTGTGGGTCACTGCCACAGCATGGCTGATGAATGGTGTAGGTCCATGCCTGAGATCGGAACCTGTGAACCTGGGCCACTGAAGCAGAGTGCACTGGGCTTAACCACTATGCCATGGGGCCAGCCTTGAAATCTCTAGTTCTTTTCCTCACTAAAATAGAATCTGTGATCATTGTTAGCACAACCTCACGGGGTCATGCTGAGAATTAAATGAGAAAATGTGTGTAAAGAACACACCCAGGGTCCAGCACAGAGGCAGCATCTAATGTCTCAATCAGTGTGAGATGCTGTTGTCAGCATTATCTAATTTTATCTCCGTTTATCGTATTCTTGTCCTTGGTGCTGGGTTCAGCCACTCCTGCTTCAAGCTACGAGTTCATGGAGAGGTGGCGTTTCCCTGCCATCTTAGTCTCCCGAGGACAGCATCAGAGTTCTTCCAGGCCTCAGCCTAGGCTGCTGGTTCTGTTTAGATAACTTGCAGCTGCTTCTTTCTTTTTTTTTTAATAAACTTTTATTTTGGAATAATTTTGGATGTATGGAACAGTGACAGAGGCAGAGCAGAGTGCCCACATGGCCCTCCCTTGTCTCTGCTGTGCTACCATCTTACTGAGAGGCCGACCTTGGTTTGTTACTCTTCACTAAACTCCAGACTTGATTCAGACTTCACCAGATCTTCCACTCATGTCCCCTTTCTGGTCCAGGTTCCCAGCCAGCTCCTACATCTAGTGTCACGCGTCCTCAGGTTCCTCTGGTCTGTGACAGTTTCTCAGTCTTCACTGTTGTTCTGACTTGACGGTCTCAACCCTGGCCACTCCACATGCCCCCCAGTCTGAGCCTGGCTGTCGTTTTCCTTGTGATTAGAATGGGGTTGTAGGATTCACACCTTGCTTTGTGTGTGTGTGTGTGTGTTTTTTTTTCCTCCTGCTTTAACCGGAATGTTTTAGGGGATGCTTTAAGAAAAATAAATTCAGTAAGTGAAGGCAGAGGCTTCGAAGATGAAAACCTTTGTGGAAATAAAAAAGATCCTAATTAAAATTAGTCCCATTGATTGTGCTTTTGACTTAGTGACAGTTTCATTTTTTAAGATCGAGATGTCAGATTCAACAGAGTTTGGGCCCTGCCCAGCCTATGTCCGTGAGAGATGGGTCCTCCTGATTCAACAGCGGTTATGACGCTTTTGTGTTTGGGAGAAGCTTCATCTGCTTTTACTACTTCTGGATCTAGTTATAATTGAGTGTAGATCTTTAGTAATTTTACTTTTTCAACCAAAAATTTATGGCATCGATCACACCAGTGCATTTTTCCCGATGAATTAATTTGAATTACAAACCCTTTCATTTGAGGTCAGCTGCCTTCCAGTCACTGGAAAATGCACAGGTTTCGCTGTCCTTCTTTCTTCCTGGGCCTGGTGGAGGTCGCAGGTTCAATGCTAACATTGTCTTTCTTCCCCCTCAGTTATTTGGATAACAAATTTGGCATTGGGTTTTACATACTTTCCCCTTCCTGTTCCCTACTCGTGAGCACTACCCCACCAAAGTCTAGAATAATCCTCATGAATGCAGACCTCTAGTGCGTCCCTCTCTGAACTGTACGTGGTCAGAGCAGAATAATGGCCAGCAGAAGCAGCTTCGAAGCAAGAGCCCTTGTTTGAAATTCCAGCCCCTGCGCTTGCCCTCTCTGTGCCTGGGCCAGTCAGCTAACGCTCTGGGCCTCAGTTGCCTCTTCTACGAGTGAGGTGAACGACAGTAGCTACTGCAGGAACTCGTGATGGGGACTGGCTGAGTTCACGTGTGGAAAGCCCCCGGACGCACGACTGGCAGGGAGGAAACCTCCAGTCAATGTTACCATTCTTGTTATTGGTGAATTTGTGTGTTCAATAATTATTTGTTAAATGAATGAAAAACTATGGGAAATTTTTACCTTTGAAAAATATCCTCCTGATGAGGTTCTTAAGCTTTCTTATTGAGGGTAATAAGCGTGTAAATCGGGGTTTCTTCATCTTGGCGCTATTGGCTTTTGGGGCCAGATAATTCCTCGCGGTGGGGAGGTCCTGGGAACTGTAGGATGTTCATCAGTATCCCTGGCCTCTGCCCACGAGGTAACTATAGCATCCACCAGTTTTAACAACCAAAAATGTCTCCAGACTTGGTCAAACGTCCCTTTGGGGGAAATCACCTCTGTTGAGAACCACTGATATAACTAATGTGACTGAGAAATGATGGAAAAAGTGAAAAGAGAATTTTTTCCCTCTTACATACATTCCTCTTTCAAGCTTGTTCCACATTCCTTCTTAAAATAAAAACCTGACACCGTTGTCAGGGAGCTTTGGAGCTGCCCTCTAAGGCTTTGGTTGTTTAACTTCTTGAATGTTTTCATTTTCTACCATTACTACTAAGATAGCCTACACTTTTTCCCAGGAAAGTGAGTTTCATTTTCTTTTATAATTGATGTGAAAAATATGTGATTGAAGGTTTTCCTTGGGTTCAGTGGACACAATAAGGAAACTTGAGATATTTTTAAAATTTGCACAAATAATTTTGTCTTCTTATTTCCATTTAAATATACCAATGTTAAGAAAAATTAAAGCCTTTAAAGACAGTGATGCCTGAGTATTTCTCTAGATTGACACTTCAACATAGGGTGCATTTATGGACAGCTGAGGAAGGTACCTTGGCAGCTAATCACAGAATGGTCATCCTGTGATAATTTTCAAAGCAAAAGGCAGAAGCATGACTACATATTAATAGGTTCAGGGGAAAATGTGTATCTCATTCCCATTTTTTCAATTGCAGTATTCTGCACCTGCATTGAATTTCCAAGTTGTGCTCTCATTATTTTCAATAGGAGCCATTTCCTTTTAGAAAGGAGGAACCAATGAATTGGACTCCCCACGCGACCATTTACATTGGCCAGTAGTTTGTAACATCCAGACACCTATTAGCTCTTATCTTACCTTGTCAGGCAGAACAAAATAACGTTAGAATTATCAGGACTTTGGATTTTAATAAAATAAAACCAGGTTCTGAAAAGCTGATTTATTGGCTCTTTGGTCTTGGGCTTCCCAGGACTAATGTCAGCTCTGCTGACGAGAATCGCAGTGGGGGCTGCGGAACCTTGTTAATTCAGTGGAATATTAATGCCCCGAAGTGACAGGTCTATTTGAAGAAGTGGCTCTGAGAAGCCGTATGGAGGATGTGATTTTCTCTGTAGAGAGAACTTGGGGGAGGTTGGCGGATTCCAGACTTGCTGAGAGAGCTGGCGTGTATACCTGAAGGGTGGTGGAATTGCTGTGGCATTTGGGAAGAAAAACAGGCAAATACAAACCTTGCTGCTTCCTGTGAATCCAGGCAACAGAGCAGACCTAAGGGAAGGGGGAGGAGGCTTGTTCAGGGAGGAGCTGAGAGCAGAGCTGCTCCTGTCGTTGGTCATATGGTCGTTCTTGTCCTGGGAAAGCGCTGACTATGTGCTTTTAGAAGGCCAAATGATATGCGATCATTACAAGGCCTCTTTCTGTTTATAGGGATGACAGGAATTCCCCGTGACCTGAGAATTTTCCATGCTGGAATAGTTTCAAGTTGTTAGGCAGAGAAAGGGCTGAAGATCGGGCATCCCACATTACCAAGGGCAGTGCTTAGCTTGGGTACCCACAAAATCAAACCCTGAGACAGGGACTTGGGGACAAGTAGTTTTTCTGGAAGGCAACCCTGGGAAGCTGTGCAAGGGATAGAGTAGTGACATTGGGAAGACAGGAAAGCTAGTAAATGTGCAATAATAAGCTGGTTACCCTTGTGGGTACCTAGGAGTCAGCCCTGCTAAGACCCTCTGAAAGACTGAGGACAAGACATCTCAGAAATGCCTTGAGGGGTGGGGTGGGGGCTGGAGATGGGTGCTCTGACTCCTCCTTCCCTGCATCAGGGGCTCTTTCTTGTGATCCTGCATCCTGATTTATCATACTGATTATATCCAGAGTGCACAAGATACAGGCCAGAGGTGGCACAGGAGGAGGCCTGCAAGCCTGTTTCACACAGGAGCAGCATCATGAGCCTCATCGGTCCCTTTTCTCGGGATGCAACAGCCTTCTCTTTGGGGCTCACTGACCACCTGTCAGGGATGCTGGGAAAATGGAGAATAGGATGGCAAGTCATATAGGTTAGACCAATAATTGTCTATGGGGTGGGGAAGGTGTGGCCCCCCAGGGGACATTTTTGGTTGTCACAACTAGTGGAGTGCTACTGGCATCTAGTGGGCAGAGACTAGGGATTCTGCTAAAAGTCCTACAATGCACAGGACAGCCCCCACGACAAATAGTGATCTGGCCCCAAATGTCAATAGGTCCGAGGTTGGAAACCCTGGGTTAGACCAATCATGATGCAATCCCTAGAGCTGGGTGTGTTGCTGCCTTGACTAAAATAGAGGATTTTGTATAGACAACTCATGGCACTCAACATGGAGGCAAACGGACCCGCTGGTACAAGCCTAACTCACGTCTGTTTGGCTGGAGCCCTGGACGAAACAACTTTGGGTAGGAGGTGAGGATGCCAGTATTGTTATTTTCCAAGATCATTTTGAAAAGGTACCAGAGCAACAGCAAGATGCGTGCTAGACCATGGACAGCTGTTCCTTTACTTTTCCATTAGCATTTGAAAAATGTCTCTTTCAAGCAGCGTTCATTAAGATTTTAATTTTGCAGTTTGTTCCTTTTTAAGTGACATGCAATTAATTAAGGTTTAATGTGTCATCTATTTTTTGCCATGACGTTTTTACTGCCCCCTTTTCATTTTAGTCAGTTTATAAATTGTCCTCCAGCTAATGAGTTCCATCCTGATCTCCAGTTCCAAATAATTACCACTCTTCTAATGTGGCTGTTCTTTAATGTGTCACAGAATTAAGAGCATTACCAGGTGAACTCAGGTGAGCTGGGTCTGCCTGGGCCCTGGGGCCACTGGGGGAGCTGGGCCAGGAAAATCACTGAGCCCTCCGCTGTTCTCATTTGAGCACATATTGAGCAGCCACCACATGTCAGACACTTGGGTCTGCGTGGGATATAAATGCAGGCGCCTCTGCTGGGCCTGGTCCCTGGGGAGCTGGCACGCTAGATAATTGCCCTACTTCTCCACATTGCTTTGCCAGTGGAAATATGACTAATGGGACTGGAAATCCTGGATGATTTTTGACTGTCTATGGGGCTGAGCATGGCCCAAGATTAACTAAACTGCAATTCCTTATTAATTCTATACTTCCAAGCTAGAATTTATGAACATTTCATCAAGTGGAGTTGAAGTTTAACTTTGCAATATTAGGAGGGGGCAGCGGGTCGTAGGGGGATTTATTAAGGAAGTGACTAGTGTAGGGGAGACTGTGAGGATGGAGGAGTCAGGGTTCTCTTGAGAAACAGAGCTAATTGAAAATATATATTAAGAGATTTATTTTAAGGTATTGGTTCATGTGATTTTGGGGGTTAGCAAGCCCGAAATCTGTAGGGCAGGCCAGCAGGCTGGAGACTTGCGCAGGGGCTGATGTGGCAGTCTTGAGGCTGAATTCCTTCTCCAGGAAACCTCAGCTTTTGCTCTTAAGGCCTTCAACTGATTGGATGAGGCTCACCCACATTATCGTGGGTCATCTCCTTTACATAAGGTCAACTGATTGTGGATGCTAACTGCATCTACAAAATCCCTTCACAGCACACCTAGGTTAGTGTTGGATTAAATCCCTGGGTACTACAGACTGGCCACACTGACACAGAACACTGTCAGAGGAAGAGGCCCACCCTGCAGGGTGGTGGCAAGTGCATGGGGCTCAGGGTCAGGAGACCCAGGTCTGAGACCTTCTGTCTGTTCCAAGCTTCAAGGCCTCAGGCAGGTCCCTCAGCCACTGTGACTACCATCCATTCTGTAACAAACCTTTGTTAAGTGCATGCCTCCTACCAGCCAGGATGGTATGTGTTGAGGGAACAAAAATGAGTAAGATGTGGCCTCTGTCCTGGAGAAGCCCACAGTCTAGTAAAGGTGACAGACCCATAAGCAACTGACCACCCAGAATGAGAAGTGAAGGACCTCACATTCCCTGCAAAAAGGGACCATGGCACCCTCACAAGAGGACCGCGAGGAAAAAGCAATGGATAAATGGGACACCAAATGCTGTGCAAGTGACTCTTACTGTTAGTACTTTTAGAACATTCTAGTAGCATCAGTCAAGTGTTTGCAAAGCACCTTTGTGGTCTAGTTGTCTCTCCATTGCTGGAAAGCCATGAAATCTTATTTCTTTAAAAGCTTCCATGATTTAGGTGCTGAGTTCAGGCAGTTTTATTTAGGAAAGATAAGCCATTAAATGGAGCCTTCAAAGGTGGGATGTGTTGTAATGGTAACGCAGTAGGAGCTGGTCAGATGTGGGTTCGTCCAGGTGGCACAGCTCTAGGGGACTCTGTCACTCGGTTTTGGAAGCTTTTCCTTTGATCAATTTCGTTGTTCTTCGTTTTCTGCCGTTGGCAGGGAGAAGTTCTAGTTGCACCCTCCCATTCCTGTTTGTGTTTTGCAGGAGCAGATGTCCATGCCAGGGACTCCCGCCGCGGGATGTCACCCCAGGAGTGGGCTGCTTACACGGGACGTTTTGAGGCGGTTCGCCTCATCCAGAGGCTGCTGGACCGACCCTGCCCGGAGCAGTTTGGGGAAAAGTATAAGCCAGAGCTGCCGCTGGCCTCCGAGGCAGCTCTGAAGTCCGCGGGCTCCAAAAACTGCCTGCAGAGGCTCACCGAATTTGTGCGGTCCACGCTGACCTCCCGCTCGCGCCAGAGCCTGGAGGATGGAGGGGTCATGGACCACATGGTCAGGATGACCACGAGCCTCTACAGCCCCGCCGTGGCCATCGCCTGTCAGACCGTCTGCCCCGAGAACCCGCCTTGTGTGGGGAAAAGGCGGCTGGCAGTGCAGGAAATCCTGCAGGCTCAGGGGGACCCGGACACGCATGCCCAGAAGGACGAGGTGGAGGGCACCGAGCAGCAATTCCGGACCTCCCCGGCACTGGGGGTCTCCAGAGAGGGGACCCCGAAAGCCAGCCTCCCGTCTCTCCAGCTGCGAAGTGCCCCGCGGAAGGCCAGCCTCTTGCCCCTGCAGCTGCTGAGGCGGAGCAGCGTGCGGCCGGGCGTGGTCATCCCTAGGGTGCGCATCAGCAAGGCGCCCGCGCCCACCTTCCAGCCCGAGCGGCCTGCCGCGAAGGGCAGCACCAAGGACAGCGCCCACCTGCAGCTGCCCAAGTGGCGGTACAAGGAGATCAAGGAGGAAAAGAGGAAGGCGGAAGAGGCGGAGAAGCAGCGGCTGGCAGAGGCGCAGAAGCAAAGGCGGGCCCCGCGCTGGAGGAAAAGGACGTGAGGGGGTCCGCCGCCCAGAAGGCGTGTCCGGAGCGGGGGAGCCGGATGCCGAGCCTGGGAGGGACGCGCTGCGCCCCGGGTCCCGGGGAGATGGCGGGAAAGCCGCGCGTGCTCCGCGCCAGGAAGCATGCGCCTTCCTCCAGCCCTCGTCCCCTTCCGCGCCGCACATCCCCGCGCCGATAGGCCTCTGCGGGGGCCCAGAAAGCGGTGCATGTTTGTTCAGGCTGCACCCAAGAGTGAATTGGGCATAGCACAAATCAATTTGCCTAAAACCAGTTCTCCTAGCAATCAATGCACCTAGTAGGCAATTTGCCGAAAACGCTACCTTTAGAACCTCAACCTCAAATTCTTAAGACCAATTTATCGAAGGGCATTTTGTGTATAATTTTGTATTTTTAATCATTATCAAATTTGCAGCATTTTATGGGGGATGGGGCTCTTTGTATTTAAGACGGTTTTAATACATTTGTCTGAAGACCCTTTGTTTAAAATACCGTTTCTAGCAATAATTATTTGTGATATCTCTGATTTCATACAGAATTTGTGGACTTCTCCCCCTTTTTGCTGTTTATTTTGGATTTTGCCTTTCCTTCTCAACGTGGGTGCACGTGAGCACTGTATGATCTTAATAATTTGAGAAGTGATGCCGAACGTTACCATTCGATGGAGGCATTTACTTTTACAGGAAAATGATCAAGACAGAGAGATCATATTTTCTTGCATCTTATTTCTTAATCTCTCTTATCCAATAATAATAACGAAGAAAAATCTCTTGTCAAAGTATGAAATGGTGCCTAAAGAAGCATGTACTTATTGCTAGAACTAAACCCGTTTTAAGCAAGGGATTTTAGATAAACTGGATACAGTGTCTTTAACATGTTCAAAAATAGACATGAGAAAAAATTATTTAATAATATAGGGGCAAATCTAATCAATTATTATTAGAAATACAAAATTAAGTCATATGTGCTCTTAGATAAATTGAATTCATAAATACTTAAAATGGAAAAAAGATGCAAAAAGAATAAGAAGCCCAGAACTATGCAAACTACGAAATGGGGCGGGGGGTAATTTTTAGAGGAACAGGGATTAGAATTGAATATTAAACTTGTTTTAGGCAAATTCTCCTGAAGGGGGCTGGGCAGCTTCCTCCTCCAGGCTCAATTCCAAAGATTTCCTGCTCTGGAATTACTTTTATTTTTTCCCTGGATGACTGCCGCTGATGTTCAGTTCATCCTCATGTGGACTTTGTGGAATTTCCAACATGTGGGTCTTTGGCAAAGAACGCATGGAATTTGCCCTGGGCCCCAAGCTCTCCGCGGGAGTTTTCTGTCGGTACTCTTTTGTCTCCAGAGCACTGAGAAATTCGAACGAATCTCTGGCCATCTGGGTTGCAGAGTATCTGTCACATATGCACTACTGACAGCACTTTATTTAAATATTATCCTACTTGGAAGCCATAGATTTAGAATATTAGAGACTGATTTGGAAGCTCTTTATTATAACCCTGGATTCTCAGGTCGTATCGTGCTCCCTGGCTGTGCCCCACTGTCTCATGGTGTGGGTGGGGGTGGCGCTTGCTTCTCCCTCTTTCCCCCCACTGGCACCATCAGGCATTGAGCAATCAGGACTCACACTCACTCTCCAGAAACCTCAATACACAAGCCGTCAGCTGCACCTGGACTGATGGGAGATAGCTGTGATGATAATGCAGCTTTGAAAGCCAGACTTCAGTGAGTTCCTCCCCCATCCCAGGAAGGCACCAGAGTGGCACAGAGGTGTGGGCCCACCTGGAGCATCACTGATGCTAGCGGGCTGTGAGCCATCCTGTGCGGAAGAGTTGGTGTTGGCCACGCCCCCTTGCATGAGCTGAAGGCTGCTGCCCGAGGTGGAGAGAGACACCCCTCATCTCCCTGACAGTCCAATCGGGCATCCTTTGAGATCATTTTCTGTGTTTATGTATTTTATTGCTTTGGATGGCTGGCTGTGTTTTCTCACTGAGGTGTCACCCTCTGCTCCTCTCCTCCAGTGTCATTTGGGGGCAGGGGCACTGATGGGCAGTGACCCCCTTCTGCTCTCCATGTGGCCCTCAACTTTGCCACCACATGCATTCCCTGCCATCCCCTTCACCTCCTCTCTTCTTCCTTGCTTGCCTTTTCTTCCTTTGTCTTTTTTCTTCTTAGATTTGGCTAAATGCCTTGATCCTCTCTGCCACGACTACGCTGAGGTCTAAAAAGAGCAGGAAAGCAAGGACATCATGAGAGGCGATGTGGCATCTCTGCTGGATTGTCATGTCATGACCTCCAAGCGCCAAAGTGTGAACGAACGGCAGGTTTCGCCAGCTTCTGTGCAGGTGGCTTAGAATTTTGGCACAGCCCCCTCCCCCCCACCTTCTTTTTGGAGGGAGGGAGACCTAGTTTGCTCTCCTGACAGATGACAGCACTGCCCTGATCTTCAGAGCCGGAGGATCTGGCGTCTGCTAGTACCCCTGATGTTTATTAACTGTAAATAGTGAATTTCAAGTTGACAGGTACCTTCTCAGGGATTTATATATAAATATAGTTAGAGGAAAAGTTGAAGTATATTTTAATACTTTTTAGTGTTTGAGTGAATTACGATTAAACTAGACAGAAGAAATGTTTCTAAGACAATGTCAGTGCTGCTGTTTTCCAGGGAGATGCCCGGGAATCCCCGCTCAGCTGAGCTTTCCTGGTTATTGGAAACCTGGGACTCTGGCAGCTGAAATGGCTTTGGGGTGGGTGTGAAGTCACTTCACAGCCTCTCAGTTGCCTCTTGTGGATGTGAACTCTTGTATTTAAAGAAAATTCAATTTCTATGTAAGTAATGGCGGCTGTGATGACACAGATGGGCCATCTGTGGCCTTTATCTCTAGAACCGGCTGCTCCTGGTCTGATACTGGGGTGTGTGGTGTGAGACTGATGCAGTTTTTTCTGCTAGCTCATGTGAGTGTTCCATGGCCAGCCCAGTGCTAAGCTCACTGCCGCAAGGGGGAGGGAGAAGCTGGGAGCAGTCCGTCTGGAATGACCTTGGCGTTCAGAGGCCATACACTTCTCATGTCTTTGGTACAGTAGAAAAAGGCAGCACATGACATTATGGACCTTTACTTTTTCTGAAGCTCCTCCCAACGGGCTGCTGCCAGGAGTAGATACCTCAGGAATATGAAGATGGGAAATTGCAATACCTTCGTCACCGCAACTTTGGGCACTCCTGAGACTTGAGGCTCATTCTTCGGAGAAGGATAGAGAGATTTCACGATGTCAGTTGGAAAATGGCACTTGTGGGTGCAGAGGAGCCATTCCAGGCTGCCTCACCCACTTTCTTCTGTTGTCACTGGGTGACCAGGTCTCTGGAAGTCCAGCCTCTGAGTGGAGACGAGGCTATTTTCTGTAAAACTGAATTCTATGAGGTGGGCCAGACCCTGGTCCTGAGATAGATGCAAAGCCTGCTGTCCCCAAGGAAGAAACATGGGTACCAAGTCATTATGAAGAAAAGCATCCCTGAGAGGTAAATAATGAGCCAGGACTGAGAAGTGGGTGTGATTTGTCTCTTGCAGCCTCTGGAAGGAGCACTGTATTTTTCTCCCTAGTCCACACTACACTAAGAGAGGAGCCCATCTTTTCATAATTTACCTGTTTGCTCTGCCAAGTGAGTTATAGCCCTGATGCAAGTCAGGTGTTAGTCTCTCCCCTGGCTTCACCTGGAGATTCATGCTTGCTCATTTTCCATTCTAATGCAGTGCGGTTATTCCCTGTAGAATTACGATTTATCATGAACTAGCGTAAGCTCCTAGTCACAATCAGTCTTTTGTATGGTAAAGTACTAGCACTTTTTCTTTTTTACAGTATTTGGGGAAATTCTAACATGCTACCCACATATTCGCTTGTGACCCTTTTTGTCCCATTGCGGGTAACTTTGGATTCTGCACCAAAGGCTGTGTTCAGGGTCCTGTTCCTGTGTGCCTGGTCCTTGGTGCCCATGGCTGCAGGCTCAGGCTCGCCCCCCTCAGCCGGGCAACTGCCTGGAGGACCAGGGTCTTCTAGGGAAGAAAAGGCAGAAGATCGATCACAACCGATCCTTGTGAAACAACAAAGTCACATTCAAGACAACTGAAACTGGGTAACCAATCGTTGCAGCGGAGTGCAAAGAACTTACAACCAAAACGGTTCTTCCTAAAACGCTGACTGCTGACTTGGTAATTTCACACCTCTCGATGCATTTGGAACTTGTTTCATATGTCTGTATAACTCTTGAGTCAGCTACTCATTTCTGTGCCCTTGAATTCACATGTTTCTTCATTAACATTTAAAATAAGTAGCTAAAAAACAAAATAAATTCCTCTGGAGGTTGTTTTTTTGAAAGAAAAAAAAAACCCCACCTCTACTTGGATGGATTTAACTAATTTTTGAGGGACTCAGTTGAATGCCAGCTCTGCGTACATAGTTTCTGCACTCTGACCCAGCCTGGAAAAAGACTGATGTGAAAGCTATGGTCCTGCAGTGCTCTGACAGTCCTCAGCAGCAAGCTGGGCCAACGTGGACAGTGTGTGATAAGGTGTGAGTCAGCACACACACATGTGCATGCACACACACACAAATGAACTGAAAGGAGACCAGGCTTTGTGCTCACAATGGTGACTGCAGCTGTGGCTTTGCTGTGGCTCCCAGGGAATGTCAGGTGTGACCTGCTTTGATGGTGTGTTTTCTGGAGGACTGGACAACCCAAGACCCACTGGGAGTACTCTGTCCAGTGTGACATGTCACTCAGCTAGCGTGTCATAACCCAGGTCACCTTACTGAATGGTAGTGTTGGCCCAGGCGCTCCTATAGGAGCTCCTCAGCGAGGTCCTACAGCTGGATCTGTGTCATCTCTCTGCCTTTGATGTGCATCCTTGGCATGGAGTGGCCCAAACCCGGAGAGGACTCTCTGCTTGGGGACTCCACCTTGGCCACAGAGTCGGGGCTGAATCCCCTGAAGTTTGGCACTGAATTAACCGTAGAATCAAGATCTTACCCTGAGGAAGTGCTGGGATTTTCCCGAACCTGCCTAAGTAGAACATACTCTAATTAAGCTAAGCAAACACAGTTTGGTTTTGGGGAGAAATCGTTTCATCAAAATGTGACACCTTTATATTGTTTTTAAATAAAAATATAGGAGAGAGAAAAATGAAGCTGGCCTTCCCAGGTAGAGCAGTGGCCTGTGTTGACCTGACGCTTTATGAAGTTTTGGGAGGTCATATTGAAGCACTTTAACACTAGTTTTTGAGCAGAAGCTCTAGAAGCTGGTTTGGAACTGCACAGTCATGTAGAACTTGATAAAAACCATGAAAGATGCTGTAAACTTGGAAATGTTACCAGCAACCCTTTGAGCCTTTGGGACATCCTAAGGAATTTGAATCATATATCCCATTCAAATGAACGGAAAAAGCTAATCTCATTGAAATTCTCTTCATTCAAATCATTCTGCCTGGCATTTATTGAGCGTCCAAGGATGTGTGTTAACAGTGGGGACTTTATGATGGTCTAAGAGTTGCACAGATTTCTGCACAGGGAGCCAGGTTTCAAATTATGTCATCTTGGTATAAGCTCTGTTTTCTGAATGTAAAGCTATTTTCATTGTCATTTCTAAAAATCCGGTAGGTTTCTGGATATTGTAAAAATGTTGAATACAGATATAATTGTGTAAATTTCATACTGTTTTATTTTGAGGTGAGAGTTTTGTTACAGTTTATAAAAGACATTTTCCTATTTAGACCTCAGGGCTATTTTGGGACCTCCAAATAAAGGTGACCCCCAGCAGCATCAATTCTTGATCTGCAAAAGGTTAATCTTTAAGTTAAATATGATAAATTATTCAGCAGAAACAATGTGTCTTTCCCTTTTAAGTTCTGACAAATTCTGTAATGTTTAAAAAGTATAGAAAAAAAGGTGTGGTAATGTAAAAATGTGGGGAAATTGTGGCTAAATAATTAAAAATCACTCATGAAATAAACATTCTTATGGTACAATAGTGTGATGTTTGAATAAACCTGTGTGTATAAATTGGAAAATGATACAATGAAATACACCAGTATTTTTAATGTTACTTATTTTGATTGAAAGAGATGTGCCCTTTCACTTTATTTTTCAAGGGAAGATTTTTAAATTTTATGAATATTCATGAGCACTTCTGCATACATTAAAATAATCTCTGCAGTTCACCTCATCTCAGAAGGACCCACTGGTAGGAAGGGACCCTTCAGCTGTGCTACCATCTACTTAGCTACAAAAATATAGTTTTGTTTTTATGTGTATTCTTTTGCCTAAATGGTACAATGTAAATGTTTTTAGTTTCCCTACTTTAAACATATCCTTAGAAAGCTTTTTAAAGAGTTTAAAAATTAATTTTATTTTCTTTTAACAGCTAAAAAACTAACACACCAACATAGGAGAAATTGTATGCTATAAAATGGTCTCAGATGACAAGTGACTTACCCTCCCCTCGGGCAGTCCCTCAGACCATTTACTTGTGCATCCTTCTAGAAATATATTTTTAATGTTTCCTTCCCTTTGTGTGTTATACAAATGAGGTCTTGTCTAATTTCTTTCCCTTGCGGTTTTGAGGAGAGCGTGTTTCAATCCCTTCGCTCTTGTTGATTGCTGTGTAGTATTCCTCGGCTGAGGTGCACCATGGTTCAGTTAACCATTTCCTCCTAGTGGACTAATGCAGTGTCTTCAGCTCTTACCACTGACAAGTAACACAGCCTTGAACCTACCGATCTGAAATGAAAGTTTCTCTAAGACAGGAATGTAGAAGTGGGATTTGCCAGGTTGAAGGGAAGACACATTTTAATTTCAATAGTCACTGCCGTGTGCACTTTCCAAAGGCTCCTGAGTACTTGCCCATGGGCAGTAGACAAAAAAGGTAATTTTCCACCTGCAGTGACACACTTGCTGTTGATCAGACTTTCTAATTTTTGCCAATCTGATAGTTAAAAAATTGTATTTCATTTTAATTTTCTTTTCCTCAGTTACTGGTGAGGTTGAGCACTTTTCATGTGTCTTTTGACCACTTTTGTTTCCTATTTCATAAATTTCTTATTTATATCGGTTTCTCATTTGTTTTTTTAATTTTACTTTTTGATGCCATTTTTGCTGATTTGTAGGACTTTGCTATAAATTTCAGATCATAGTTCTCTGACACATATTGTGTCTATTTTCTCATTTTATCACTTATCTTTAAGGTATCTTGTATAAAAGTTTTAAATTATGATTTAGTTAAACTTGTCAGACTTTGCTTTTTTTAATATTTCCTTTTTGAGAGTCTTTAAGAAGGCCTTTCCTACCCCAAACCAGCATTTTTTTTTCTTCTATATTTTCTTCTAATGATTTATAGGTACTTTTTTTTTCTTTTTAGCTCAAAAAAAAAATTCCACATAAAATTCATCATTTAGGTGCTTTTTGATGGGACTGAAATCAAACAGCTCCTATTTATTTGGCAAGCTCTACTAGGCAGTTAGGAAATCCGAAGTCTGATGCATTAAAAATAATTCTACTCATTAAATTCTACTCATCAAAAATCATAACTATTAAGGAAGGACCTAAATAGGCAGTCAATTTTTTTTTAATCTTTTTTTTGCTTGAGGAAGATTTGCCCTCAGCTGACATCTGTGCCAGTCCTCCTCTATTTTGTATGTGGGTGGCTGCCACAGCATGGCCACCGACGAGTGGTATAGGTTTGTGCCCAGGAACCGAAGCCTGGCTACCAAGCTGAGCACGCCAAAGTTAACCACCAGGCCACAGGGCTGGCCCCAGAAGTCAAATTTTAAGTAAAACTTTGTTCTAGGTTAAGATTGTTATTGGAGATCATTTGTATTTGCTGTTTGTGAAAGAGCAAATGACGTGTGTATGTGATGGGTGGAAATATTAGTAAACAGGAAGTTAACACATAAGAGAGTCCCCTTTATTTTCCTGACTGAAACTGCTTGGAGCAGCAGGAGCTCCAGGTGCCTCCCATCAGAGCTGGGGGGCCACATGATGGGAGAGGCCTAAGGCGGCGCGTTCCCTGGGGGCTCCCCCGTCTGCGGGTCTCTGGAGCAGCGTCTGTCCTCACAGGCAAGTGTGTGGTCAAGAATGTCACCCTTGGGGGCCGGCCCCGTGGCCGAGTGGTTACGTTTGTGTGCTCCACTGCTGCGGCAGCCCAGGGTTTCGCTGGTTCGGATCCTGGGTGTGGACATGGCACTGCTCATCAGGCCATGCTGAGTTGGCATCCCACATGCCACAGCTAGAAGGACCCATGACTAAAAATATACAACTATGTACTGGGGGACTTTGGGGAGAAAAGGAAAAAATAAAATCTTAAAAAAAAAAAGAACGTTGCCCTTCCGATGACTGCATGCAGCCCTGGCCCCTCAGTAAGGCGCTCCACGTGGTCCCTGGCTCCCAGCAGTTCACTCCTGGTGTCTCCCTTGATGCTGGGCTGGTTTCCAGCCGGGCATGTGAAAGGTGTCCTGGAAACCTCTGGTCTGCTGACAAAACAGACTTTGATGTGCAAATTGCTTAGGCAAATTGTCAGCTCACCTGCAGCTCCCAATCCCAGGGGGTCTCTGCCCCTGCAGCCCAGATCACAGGCGGCAGGGGGTCACCACCACTGCCCACCCCGAATCACCCACCTCGAGACGGGGTATCCTGCCCATGCTCATTACTGCTCTCCCTTATGTTTTCCCGGCTAAAAAAATTAAAAATATGTAAATCAAACTCAAATCCACCTTGATATTCAAAAGCGTTATTTAAAAAACAAAATCAAGAAGTCAGCTGCAAGGATGTGACTTCAACTCTTTATTAGCTCTTACTGAAAAAAGAAGCGTTATTAGTGCCAACAGCTTAGTTGAAAAGCTGGACCATGGGGCCCCTCTCCGGTTTGGGGACATGGATTGTGGTGGGAAAGTTGTCGCCCTAGAAGTGAAGAAGGTTGCAAACTGTCCTCACTCCCTGGGCTAAGGAGCCACCCTACAACCTGTGCTAAATATGGTCATCTGTGTCCTGCAGAGGGGACCTGCCCTGGAGGCAGCCCCGAACCATCCCACTGCCCCTTCACCCCTCCCCTGGTGCCTGAATTGCCCCCTGGGAGGGGACTAGCATATATCTGCTGGTGGTCCTGAGTGGTCACCGGAAGGTGCAGATGGCCTGTCCGTCCTGAGCAAACCCCTTGGAATGGGCCTCTTGAGAGCACGACTCGTCCTCCTTCGGTTGAAGTGCACCACGCCCTCTGTGGGGTGAGAGGTCACGGGGGGGGGTGGGAAAGGCGACCCCCGCCTGCCCTCCCTCCCACTGCTGTGCAGGTGCTGGGCCTGAGCATCTCACCCTGTCCTGAGCCCTCGCCTGTGTTTCTCTGACTACACACTCATTCTAGTCCTCGACTCAGGCCAGGTGGCCCTTGCGATACTGTGGCAGCTCTCGTGTCCTCCCTGAACCAGCAGATTGACCTCTGCAGGTACAGGAGCCAGCGGTTCTCACCTGGCCGGGGTTTCCTGGACCAGTCGCATCAGCACCACGTGGAAAGTCGTCGGAAATACATGTCCTCGGGCCTCCCTGTGTTAGTTTCCTGTGACTGCTGCAACAAATTACCCCAAACTTGAGCAGCTTCAAACAGCAGACACGTATTCCCCTCACGGTTCTGGAGGCCAGAAGGTCGAAATCCTGGTGTCTGCAGGGCCACGCTCCCTCTGAAGGCTCCGGGGAGGACCCTTCCCGCCCCTTCCAGCTTCTGCCAACCATCTTTGGTTTCCTTGGCTTGTAGTGGCCTCCGTCTGCCTTCAGCATCACATGGCCATCTTCCCTCTGTGTGTATCTGTGTCCACATTTTCTTCTTTTTATAAGGCCATCGGTCGTTGGATTAGCGCCCACCTTAATCCAGCATGGCCTTCTTTTAATTACATCTGCAAAGACCCTATTTCCACATGAGGTCACATTCACAGGTACCTGAGATTAGGACTTCAACATATGTTCTTGGGGGACACAATTCAACCCATAACACCACCCCAGACTACTGAATCAGAGATGCTGGGAGTCTGGGAGTGTGTGTCTCTCTAAACTCTGCGCCCCGCCAGGCCCCCTTCTGGCCACTCACTCTCCAGCTCCCTCCCACCTTGATGGCCACTCCGTCCTTACCAGGCCCTCCTCCCCTGCTGCACCCCTGAAGGCTAGGAGCCAGTTCTGTGCTGGGCCTCTTCTCTGCACCCCTGCCTGGGCCATCTCAACAGCCCCATGGCTTTAAATGCCAGCTAGAGGCTGTTGATGATGAATTTAGGTCTTCAGCTGTGACTTTGCTCTAAACCAGGGCTTATAGCCCCCAGTTCAAATCCAGCCACTGCCTGTTTCTATGAATCCAGTTATAGTGGAGCACAGCTGTGCTCACTGGTTGACACATTATCTGTGGTGGTTTTTACTCCCCGAGGGCACACTTGAGTAGTTACGATAGAGGCTATAGGCCCACAAAGCCTAAAATATTTACTATCTGACCTTTACAGAAAAAGCTTGCCGACTCCTGCCTAGGCTCCCATCACCCAGGTGGTGGATATTTCCATCTGGTGTGGAGTAGGCATCACAGACCTAGCATGTGCCAGGACCGCTTCTGATTTCCTCCTTGGCCTGTTTCTCCTTCAGCTTCCCCATCGCACTGTGTGGCCCCCTCAACTCTCCAGGTGCTTGAGCCAACCTTGCCTTTATTACCCTGCCTTCCGCGTCTCTCACTCCCACTGGCCCATCTCCTGCAAATCTGATCATGTCATTGTTTTGATGGCCTCTTATCTACCTCACTGGGAGGGAGGGATCCTTGCTCTTGGGTTATGGGGAGGGCTGAAGACACAACACTCGACACTGGACAATCAGATGGACAGTGGTTTATTAGTCACGTATTCTCACAGCCCAGTATAGGAGGATGCTATGCAGGGCCACATGGAGAAGTGAGTGAACAAGTGGGGCTGTGGGAGGCAGGCTTTGTAGTATCAAGAGGGTGGGGTGACCCCTGGT